CCCGCCTGACGAAGGGGGGGGCGGGGGGAAGCGTTCCTCCTGCCACGCACCCCCAAGGATCCTCTTGCACACCCCGCTTTGGAGACCACTGTTCTAGACTACCACCTGGCTTCTATCCTCTCCACTAGGGAGTTGTGGGTTTCAAAAACAGGAAGATTCAGCAATAGAATGTATCTGTTTTAAAATCTTTGATTTGTTTTGCTTTTCAACTTGAGGAGTGGGAAGAAAAGGGAAAGGGGGGCAACTTTAGTCTTTTTGCTTATTAGGGTGTCATTTTTAATTAGAACCAATTTTAGACAAATTAATCTATTTACGTGGCAAAGCACATTTCTCCTCAACGACTTTAAACTCCCCTCACCTCTTCCAGCTAGTGTGCATTAGGAATAACAAAAAGGCATGCAGGCATTCCATGTTCGGTGTTGTCAAACTTGTCCAATTTGCTAACTTGCATGAAGCAGCTGATTCAGCTTTGTACATTTCTTCAGCTTCTCTCATCTAGATGAAATAATTCACATTACGTCTAATTTAATCTGTGACTATGTATGTAACTGTCTCCCAAAGCATTCACTGTCATACATAAGACAACAGCTCTTCTCTGCATTTTCTCTCAGTCATGCATTTGATTAACCTTTGGCTATATTTTGTACATTTGACCTTTAAAGACAAAATGTTAGTCTTCATTAAGTCACTGGTTTATCTTTTTACTTGAAATGGAACAATTGCAGACCAGAGAAGAGAACTAAAATAATCCTATCTGTCTATAGTCCTTGCTGTTGCAACTTGCTTTGTTACTAATGTTCCTTATCAGAAAGCAGCTTGTTAACAAGTGCACTCTTCGCATTATTTAGTTGAACAGTTAATTTACACTGTGAATACATGTGAGCGTAATATCTGAAGCATTTCCTTTTTAAAGTCATTTTTCATTTCTGCTTCATTAGTGTGAGATGCAGCAACGTATTTCAAACATCACAGTAGTGGGTTCGTGCTTGAGCAAGTCTATTGTTGCTTTTTCCAGCTGACATACCCAATTGGCCCTGGGTCAATTGTTTTTTGTGATGTGTCCCTATAAAAGTATGTTTTATTAACATTAAGGAAGGAAGTATTTTGAACTAACTCCAGACTGAAGTTGTTGTTTACTTTGTAGGGAGCACACTCCATCTACTCTGACTGGAAAAGTAAACCAGCTGGAAGTGATCCTCCGGCAACTACAAACTGACCTCCGGAAGGTAAAAATCGCTTCATCAGGATTAAATGTCTCCATTGCTCTCCAATAGAAATTACTATACTTATATAGTACCTTTCATCCAAGGGTTTCAAAGAGCGGGTTAATGTGGTCAAAAAGAGGGCATTTAACCTTATATGGTGCACCTGGAGGGGATTGAGAAGACCTATCTTCAGATCAAGAGCTGCTGTGGGAGAAGCTGGAATAGGATTATAAAGCCAGGAAATGAGGCCAGGAGGAGGCTGCAGGGAAGGAGCATGCAGTCACTCCCTAGAGGGAAAGCGAGTTGGTCATGAACAATGTGGAAGTCCAGGGGGAAATGAGCCCTGGGATCCTGCCCTGGACTATGGAGTCAGACAAGGGGGGTGAAGTAGCCATGGAGAGCAGAGGATACTCCAGTGGTAAATCTAGAGATAGGCCAGGAGATAGAGACATGGGGTAGGAAGGAGCCCAGGGAAACAGCAACAGAAACTGAACAGACCTTCATTGTTAGTCATAGGGTCCCTGGGCTGGAACCCAGAGTTGTGGGCAGGCCCAGGTTCCTCTACTCACCACTGGGAAGTGGCGAAGTACCTAGAGGTGAAACAGAAGACGGTCTGAGACAACATCCGGACAACTTGTCCGGTGGGACTTTGGTACCCTGGAATGGGAGGCTGTATAGTGACTTGGCTAGAGAGCCAAGTCAAAAAGATGGAGCACTTCAAGTCATGAGCAACCAATTATGGGGGCGCCATGTGGGGTGAAAGCCAATTCTCAGACCTAGCCACCAGGAGGCATACCTGCAGTGAATGCAGCTGTTTACAATCCATGAGACTGTATGCCAGGATGTATGATATTCAACTTGCAGATGAGTAAACTGAGGCACAGAATGATTTGTGGCATGACTGGAATCACAGTGAGTTAGTGACAGAGCTGGAAACAGGAACTTGGCTGCCATGTCTGTTAAGCAATGGGCCACATATTGCTTTTAGTGATGAAATAAACCATTAGAGGGAAATGATTGAAGCCAAACATTTTGCATTAGCTTTGTATTTGTGAAATCAAAATCTTGTGACTTGAATTCTTCTGTATCACTTCTTAATCCTCTGATCTTGAATCTTTTCTTTGGGAAAACAGATTTGGGAGGTTTCACAATTTGTAAGTCCCTACTTTTAGGGATGAGTCTAATCTGAACTGTAAAATAACTTTACAGTTATTGAGTATTTAGCTCAAATCTTTGTTATACAGGAAGTGGGTTCTAGAATTCTCATACAGAAATTGCATTTAGTTTTCTTTTTAGCCTGCTATGTGATCTTCTTCAGTACAACATTGCAGCAAATTTGGGAATTCAGCTTACAGTTCAATAGCTGTCAAAATGGATTAGGGAGCTAAAGTAAACAGAGCTCTGTGATTCGTTTTAGAAATAGGAGCAACAAAAATGTCATCCTGGCTACTTACTTTATTCAACTTATATTTTTTATTAACCAGGAAAAACAAGACAAAGCTGTTCTCCAAGCTGAGGTCCAGCATTTGAGACAAGATAACATGAGACTTCAGGAGGAGTCTCAAACAGCAGCCGCTCAACTAAGAAAATTCACAGAATGGTTTTTCAATACCATAGACAAGAAATCCTAATGTCTAGGCCCCTGGAAAGCACTATTTGAACTGCATAACAGCTGTATTTTTTAATTAGCGAAATATGATTTCATTGTGTTCACAATCCATTTTAGATGTTTCTGCTGTATTCTCTGTCCACCTCTATTCACTTGAACAAGACTGAGGGCCATGTGGATCTATCTTTGTATTCCTTTGAAGAAAGCAGAGAATAGCAGACATTTGTTTGTGTGAAGATGAATGTAAAATTCTTGGTGTCATTTTAGACATTTTTAGAAGATGCTCTGGGTTGGGGTTGCCTGAAGAGGAACGTTTTGGGTTTTATTTCCTGTATTTCAGGTCCTCTGGTGAAGATGTTTAAAGCAATTTACAGTAGCTTGGGCTTCAGTATTGTAAGATAAAGAGAATAATCAGACATATACCTTAATGTTTAAAAGGTGCTCTATTTTTTGTATGTACAGTAGTTTATTTCCACAGTCACATTGTCATAGCAATAAGAATGGAGGTATAGTGAATAGTCACAAATCTGTGTTTATAAAACGTTAGCACTGATGTGTTTAACACTAGTTTGGATGCAGATACATTAGAGATTATTTATTTGCAGGAACAAATGGTGCCTGAATATAAACAGTGTTCTGATTTTCTAAAGATACATATGCCTTGTAAATGGCTCACTGGGTTAGCCCACTCCAACTTCAGATAATTTTGTATAGTTGATGTTCAGCTAAAACAGTTATACTGCTTAACTATTAAAATCATGTATGGTGTGAGCCAGCCAATCACTTGTACAATGCCAAATTCATTTCTCTGTACAGAAGCTTTGATCAAGTGTCTTGTATTTAACACCTTTATTTAAGCTTATTTAACCTTCAGTTGTTAATTTTATAAAGTTTTTGTTTTATCTGCACTATGGTGAAGACAGTTGGTTGCGAGCTGTAATATTTTTAGCTTGCTGAGACTGTACTGAGGAATTCTAGAAAATTCTAATGATTGGATGCTGCTAGTACACTATTTGTATGCTTTAACATTTTTAACTGTTTCATTTGAGATGAACATACATTTTGCTTTTTTAATAAACGTTAAAAATATAAACCTCAAAAAATGATATTTCAGTTTTTCATCATACAGCACACATCCAATTCCACTGTCCATAGTTTAGGTTTCTGTTCAGTCCACTGTGAATGTCATGTGCATATATGTATTCAGCTATGATCTTACATTTATGTTCTGATCCTGAGAAAATCTAAGCATGCATAGCTCCCATTCACTTCTCAGGATCAGGCCACGGAGTTGATGCCATTTTTGGTGTGATCTGATCTATACCTGACAGGTATCTATTCTGTTCAGTGAACAAAAACTATCCAGCTACTTATGTGTATTGACCTATCACTATACCAAGGAGAAGTATAGAAAAATCACTCAAAAGGCATCAAGTATTTTGAAATTTTATCTTAATGCCAGATAGCCTGCCATCTTTAATGTGTGCAATCAAAGATTTGATTATGTTGTTAGCATCTGCGAGATATGAAAGCATGCTGATGATAGCTTAACCTATTTTATGTTCATCTTCTTTTCCTGCAGTTCCACATATAGTACTATCCTTAAAATCTACAGGAAAGGTGCAATTGTCTGAAATGAATTGAAGCTAACGAGCCCCTTTGATGTTAGTCTGCCAAGAAGAAATCAGTTTGAGACTGTGATATTGAAAGCACAGGCACAAGAAATGGATTCTAAGTGAATATATAAAGTCAAATTTAAAGCCCAATGTAAAAGCTCTCAAAGCTTTCAGTACATAAACTCAGCTGATACAAATTATTCTTCATCCACTATTATGTACTGTGTGGGCCAAATTATGTTTTCTGAAGTGGAACAAATATCTGTCTCTGTTAAAATGTTGTTTGGATGAACCATAGAAAAAATCATCTTTGGGCAAAGAAAATCAAGGCTTTGGCCAAAATTTCAGTATCACAATTTACTAGTGCAATTGGGGTTATGGGGGGGAAGGGGAAGAATGGGACTGCATTCTGAGTCCCCTTACTTCTTTAGCAATGGCTCTGATTCTAACGTACCGCGCAACGTCTGGCAAAAAGCTCCATTAAGTTAGAGTAATTAAACATGGCAGTCATGTGTTTCACTAGAATCTGATTTAAACACCTTGCAAAAGTCATTAGTAAACCCATCTGGGCTGGAGACCTTGCCAAATCGCAAACTGTACAACCTTCACAATTTCTGTCAGTAAAATGTGCCTTCAGAAGAGGCTTGTCTTCTTTGGAAGCTGTGCTAACTGAAGTGAACTCAAAGAAGGAGCTTTTGCTGGAGAGGTAATATTGAGTTTGTATAATAGTTAATAAAACTTTTTAGATAACATTTGTTAGCGGAATATAGTGTGTGTATATACTAATTCCTGTTTTCAGATGCTGAAATAACTAAGATAATTAACTGTGCAAAAGAAGTTTGGCAAGTAGATTTCTTCTCTCTCTCTCTCTCTCTCTCTCTCTCTCCCCCTCCTGGTCACAAACACTTGAATATTTTGTTCCCAAAACTGATAAGTCACTCAAGGATTGTGACCCCCTTACTTTGATTGTAACTCCCAATAATCATTCCATCATGTGCTGCCACAGTAAATGAATCTACTTGAGTAACTGCTTGCCACCAAGAGGGAAGTGGTTCACAATCTGGCCTTAAATGTTTAATGAGATGAGCAATCAATCAATTTTACCACAAACCTTATTCTAGATTTGAGGTAGAGATCGGATGCATTTAAACGTAGAGATTTGATTCTCTACTCTTTTCAATCATCTTTTCAGAGGAACTTAGTGCTCAGGAAAATGATGGACTAAACGCTAGCAAGAGGCAGCCATAGTACCGACAAAACCTTCCCAGCACCTCAGTGCTGACCTGCAGAATTCCAGTGTTGAACAGAAATCAATCATCTGTGCCAAACTTTGTGCTGTTTTGGGAATGTGAATAAATGTCCAATAGCGGCTACAATGAGACCACAAAATTGTTTTTGCTTCCGACCTAAAGGTGCGATAATGTGGATGATAGTTTAATACAGAGATTGTCTTCTGGGGCCACCTGCCCACCCATTCATGACCACATGGACTATCCCACTTCCCATTCATGATCTCATAACACCCTTGTGGCAACTACAGAAATTGCTTACATGTTAATATTTTCTTATTAAAATTCTCTTTTCTAAAGATAGTAATGCAGAACTATTTTTGGTATGATTTCTCCTCCTGAGGATGTACAACTTAATCATATTGTGGTCATTATTATTTAGTACCTAAGTTATGTCTACTTCTTGAACCAGCTCCTGTGTATTCCTCTTATATGCCCTATATCTACCGGTAGCTGTTTGGAGAAGCAATTGTTTAAGGTGTTTGAAAATTACTTCTCTAAAACCTGTTCCATTGGGACATTTGACTATATTATCTTCACTGAGAAGCATGTAACAATTACTGTGCTCTTTACAATAAATATGCTAGCACTAATACCCAAAAGGCTTAATGAAACGTGGAAATTATTTAATTTGAAAGCATCAGAACCATCTACATTATCGCCAATCAATTTGTCCTTTTTCTTTTTTTCTGGTCTACCACCATCAAGTTTAGTTGGAAAAAGAGCTTATCTTGAACCCCAAAGACAAAAATTCTGCCTCCACTGTCAAAAGGTTTCCTGTGGCTGAGTGGTTTCTGCAAAATTGGGAGAAGATATGCACCTTTTTAAATCCCAGAATCTAATTGATCAGAAAAGAGATCTTAATCTCACCCTTTCTTTATGCAAAGGTACCAGTAATGGTTCTATGAAGTCAGTCAGAATAAGGAACCTGTGAGGTAAGGATTTAAAATTAAAAGGAAAATCAAGTGAGACAGGATCTAAATATTTTGTGATCATTGCCCTCATATTCTGTCAATACAGGATTAACATTCTCCGTAGTTCCTATTTTACAATAGAGCAGAATGTTACCTTCAATAAGGACACCATTAAGAGATTTTGTGCTTTCTTTCTGACCTTGCAAAATCTTAATCCCACCTTCTAATTGGCTTCTACATCATTCACCATCTTTTCAAATGTACAAGTTTGAGAATCCACTGAATCAAATTTACTCATAAACCAAAGAAATTAGTTTAGAGCATGAATTTCCAAAAGTACTGCGTCAAGTGGGATTTCTGAAATCTTGTTCAGGGAAGATCAATGAAAGGAAAAAAGGGGTTGGGTTTTTTGTTTGTTTTTCTTTAAAGCTGAATGAACAGCAATGCAAGCTGCTGCAGCTAATTGGAATTGAATGGGGAAGATGAATAGACCAAATCCCTCCATCCTTTCCTTTTAGAAATTATCCAAAGGTAACACATTTCTGGGTCTGAATCCTGTTTATTTTATTGACTTCTCTTGGGAAACCGTTTTAAAAAGGAATAAGGTATAAGAAATAAATGAGTCGTCTTCCTCCACAAAAGAAGAGTATTTAAAGGCTGCTTTGCTGTGCTATATACCATAGCTTTTATACAGTAATTATCACATTGGCATTGTCCAAAGTGGAATGAACTGTTGCTGACAAAAAGAATAAAAGAAATGTTTGTTTTTTGGGGGGAAACCCCCATACATCTAGTTTGTGGACTCTTCCTAATCCCCTGCTTCACAAAATCAAATTATGAAATCTCAAAAGCATAAAAGAAGCAGACAGGCTTTTTCCAACCATCACAAATGGAGCATTATCAAATGAACTGATACCAATTCAGGTGTCCTTGACTCTAGATATCGGTCAAAAGCAAAAATAATCTGTCTGGGAAAAGCGGATAGAGATTAAAAAAATATTGCATCATTCTCACCAGTAAAACCTGACTCCATGGTGGTGTTAATGATTAAGTATTAGCCATCAACGTAGCTCCCCACAATTACTAATACAATTGTCCCCCTTTGGGTTCAGAATTAACTGATAACTGGTCATTTTTTACTAAGAAATATCACTCATGAAAATCTGAGCCTTATTTGCACTGAAAAATCCTGAGTTTCTAAAGCGTTGAATATGTAGGTTCCTTTCCGGGTGGCAGATGCTCTTATGTAACCCCTGGCATGCAATGCTTCCCCCTCTTCAACAAGAGCTACTCGCCTCCTGTGCAAGGAGAAAAAGCCCCCAAACATTCCATGAAGCATATTTCAGTGAGTGCTGGAGGAATTCAGCCTCTGTCAGGGCCGGCGCAACTCATTAGGCGACCTAGGCAGTCACCTACGGCGACCGTGGTGGTATTTTGGCGGCGGGACCTTCCGCTGCCTCTGTGGGGGGCAGCATTTCGGGGCGGGACCTTCCGCCGCTTAGGGCGGCAGAAAAGCTGGCGGTGCTTCTGGCCTCTGTCCACGTGTCCTCGGGGAAATTTGCCAGCCACAAGGTTGTCCCTTGATCAATGAGTTTGCAACCAGCCCATAGTTGAAATGTACTGCTGTTGACTGTCCTATGACCATATAGCTCTAAGGTGCTGGGGCTGTTCTCCTTTCCTTCTTCCCTCCTCACATCCACTTCTGGGCACCTAAACAGAATAATAATCAGGATGAGCAAAGTAATCCTCCTTGGTCCCTGTCTCTGACCATTGTTTTGTAACATAATAAACCTTTCTTTCCCATGGCCTGATCCCTTTCCTACAACTTGATGGCTTGGAAGGCTGAGCAGGCCCAAGGTATTCTCAATGGGAGTTTGATATGCTTAGCACACAACAGAAAATGGACTCAACCTACAACCAGTTTTGAAGCATCTTCATATGGCACGGCACTAAAAAAGGTCCTAATGTCCTTTCCTGCTCTCTCCTATACACTGTAGCTCCTGTTGTAAAAATAGGAGCTACTGGGTGCTCAGCACTTTGAAAATTAGGCCATGTTTAGATGCTTAAATATGATTTAGGAGCCTACATTTTAGGCCCTGATGTTTTGAAAATCTTGGTCTGCATTCTGTTGGTCTGTATTCAGGCCAGAAGTTCTTGCCTACAGTTAGTGAAAAGCCCTCACACCAGTTCCAGTCCAGCTTTTTGGACAAGGAGACATCTGCCACACAACTCAGTAGGACAGCCACTGGGTCGTCTGTACATACCTTACT